TGTGTGTGTAGTGGCGTATAATGGCTCTGCATGGATTGCCAACTGTTGAATTTCAGATTTTTAATTTTTCATGATGGAATTGACCGCTTTTTTCATATTGATAAAGAATTCAGAATCAAATTCAGAATAAATATTTCACATTTAATTTCTGAAAATAATTAACTTCTTGAAAAAAGTATCGTTGCTCTGTCAGACGACATCACATGCATTTTATTTGTTTTGGTGCAAAAAAATAAATGCCCAAATTATATTTCTAATTATGTTTATGTCGAAAGTTCATTTCTACTTGAACTGAACCTTAGTTGAGGCACATGCAATGAGTACAAACCACAAATTAGTATCGAAATTGCTCGTAAATCAAAAGGAATTCATTTTAAATAACGCAAAATTGCAATAATTTTCGTTTAATTTAATATATAATATCAATACTAAGATTGCAATTACAAGTTGTTTTAGCGTGAATTTTTTGCTGAGGGTGAAAATGGTTGCAAAGTAAAAGATGGTGGAATACTGTTTGTGAACAAAAGTGATGGTCGAGCAACAGGTGATGCTTTTGTAATGTTTGATAATGAAGAAGCTGGTCAGAAGGCTCTAAGCAAACACAAACATACGATTGGTACTCGATATATTGAACTTTTCAGGTTAGTCTTTTTGTACTAGTACAAGTATTATATTATTCTAATTTTTTTAATCAGTCAAATAGAATTTTAAAAAAAAAGATCAATCGTTTACTTTTAAATTTATGATTTTGAGATACAATTTAATTTTACTGCTATTATTAATATTATTTTGTAGTTCTTAAATTGATTGAAATATTCATGTTTATATTGAATAAATAATCAATGATTACAAAAGGCCAATAAAATTTGTTTGTACTGTTTGTGAATTAAAGTGTATCTCAAAATTGTATCTAAAAGTTGTTGTAAATAATTTTTTAAGTTATCATGATTGATGATGTAATGTCGTAACATTTTAATCTTCATATGTAAATATGAAGTTTATTAACTTTTTTTTGATATTATGATTAGTTGTAATCAGAAATAGCGGTATTATTGTTAGCATTTTATAGCTTGTTCATATTATTATCGGTATTAGCATTTTTATTATTTACTGCTATTTTGTGTAAATATTTTGAGCAAAATAATGCTTATTTATAAGCATTTTAGCCTTTATTTTCTGCATGAGAAAAGCAGAAATTTTTCGTGTTGAATACAATTTAAGAATAAAACTGATTGCAAAAGTTTGCAGTCAAATTCAGCAATATTTTACAAATATGAAAAAATTTCAGTGCTATACGTTTACATTAACGTTTTGTGCTCTTTATATAATAATAAGCAAATTTGATGAAAATAATAAAAAATAGAATTAAAATTTAATTCATATTTATAAATTTTTGAACGAAAATTTGAATAAGTAATATTGTTGCAAAAAGGATTCTTGTGTATATTATGAATTTAAATAATCATTTATTGATTTCATAGCTTAGAAATTTAATATTATCAAATTGATTCGAAAATTGATAACAGATTAAAGATACGATAAGCTATGAAAATTATATGTCATTTATGATAAAGTCAAAATAAATTATTCAATTATTTGGTGTAATATTAGGACTTTGTCATTTATCGAAGCAATTATTTTGAGCAGATTTTCACGAACAATAAATTATTTATTGGTTTTATCATCTTAGCATGTCGCGTCATGTTTACTTTGCTAAAGAATTAATGAATTTTGAATTTTTGACTGATTTGATCATTGTATTGTTAGTTTTGTTTGATGCTTTGATGCATCTTTTCATTTGTTAATAATAATTTTTGCATCTAACGACGTAAGAAAGTGAAATACATAGAAAAATAATAGATATAAAAAAGTTTTTTTCTTTTTTCATAAAGCAAATATGCATGATGAATTGAAGTATGTAGTAAGCTTTAAAAAGGTAATAGGTTTTTGCAATGTTTATAAAATTTATTCATAATTTTATGGCTTAAAGTAAAGTTCACACGTGAAAGCTTTCTTCATTAAGATAGCTGTTATAAGTAATGATTATCATGATAATTTTATCAACAATGGAATGATTGAAAAATTTATTTATAATTCAAAAGTCATTTTATTTATGCAAATAAAGGGTTATTTCAAATAAATAATTATTTATAGATCAACTCAAGCTGAAGTCCAACAAGTTGTAAATCGAAATTTGGAAAATCATCAACGTGTAATGGTTCACGGAAGTCGGAAAGATTGTATTAGGTTACGTGGTCTTCCATATGAAGCTCACGTTGAAAATATTGTGGAATTTCTTGGTGAAACAGCTCGACATATTATGTTTCAGGTCTTCGTTTATTTATTATCGCAATAATAAAATTTTTAATGCGTAATAAATGATTGAAAAATTTATTTACAATTCAGCAGATGATCAATTACTAAAAAATGATTGATATAAATAGTAAATTTGGACTAAAAATTTATGTTTAGTGTTATTGACGCCTGGCTAATATTAAGCCATTGTAAAATATTCATTGGCAAATAAAACGCAAGAAAATATCAATTTGATAAATTACCAAATGATTTTGCATGTTAATTCAATCAAAAATATGTCTTGCAAACAGACTAAACCCTTGTGATTATTGTCAATGATAACGAAAGTGATAAGTGAGAGTAGTGATAAAACTCATTCATTTTTCAATATTATTAAATTTTATATTTTTAGT